CGCCAGCCCTCCCACATTCCAGCTCCTCTCCCACGCACTTTATAAACATGACTCCTTCAGTCATCATGGGCATCTGTGACCTCTGCACTCCTTTGTAAATGTAACTTCTTATTTTTGGTAGTTGTAGATTCACCTGTAGTTACTCGTAAGAAACCGAAAAAGGGGCTCTCGTGTGCCCTTTCCCATGTCCCCTGTGACAGCCCCTTGAACGCATGTGATGTACCAACACAGTGAGGATACTGACCTTGGCACAGTCACAATGCAGATCGTTTCTCTCACAAGGATCCCTCGCGTCGCCCCGAGGCAGCCGCCTCACTTCCCTCCTGTTCTCCATTTCTGCAATCTTGTCATTTTGAGAACGTTCCGTGAATGGAAACACAGAGTGTAACCATTTGAGTCTGGCTTTTCCTAGCCAGCATGATTCTCTGGAGACTCATCCAGGTCAAGGAGCATCTGTCGTTCCTGCCATTTCATGGCTGAAACGTGTCCCCTGGCAGGGGGGGACCCGTGTGTTCCACCTTCACCCATCAAGGGACATGTGGTGTCTCCAGCGTTTGGCTATCATGAATAAAGCTCCTATACACGTTCATGGACAGGTTTTCCATGTGTGCATTTCTCTGGATAAATGCCCAGGAGTGAGACTCCTGTGTAGAATGGTGTTTGTGTGGTTAGTTTCTTTCATAAGCTGCAACCTGTCTTCCAGCGTGGCTGCACCATTTTGCCTTTCCACCACCAACGCACGAGGCCCAGCGTCTCCACCTTCTCGCCAGCATTTGGTGTCACCGCTATTTTTTGGTTAAGCAGTTCTCATCGGGGCATCATGGCATCCCATTACTGATTAGTTTGCCTTTCCCAAAGCCTAAGGATGCCACACTGCCTCTCACCTCCTTGTTTACCATCTGTACGTCCGCTTCAGAGAACTGTCTCTTCAAGCCTTTTGCCCATTTTTGGATTGGATCATTTTCGTTTGTCTGTTTTTATGTGTTTTGCTGTTGTGTTTTGAGAGTTCTTTACATAGTCTAGATTTGTATATTCCAGTCCTTTGTCTGATATGTGGTTTGTAAATATCTGGTTAGGGTGCAACATTATTTTATTTTTTATTTATTTACTATTATCTTCAGACAGTTTCTCACTCTGTTGCCCAGGCTGGAGTGCAGTGGAGCAATTATGGCTCGCTGGAGTCTTGATCTCCCAGGTTCAAATGATCCTCCCACCTCAGCCTCCCAAGTAGCTGGCACCACAGACACATACCACCATGCCTAACTAATTTTTTAAATTGCATTTTAGGTTTTGGGGTACATGTGAAGAATGTGCAAGATTGTTGCATAGATACATTCGTGGCAGTGTGATTTGCTGCCTTCTTCCCCATCACCTATATCTGGTATTTCTCCCCATGCTATCTCTCCCCAACTCCCCACCCCCTGCTGTCCCTCCCCTATTTCCCCCCAACAGACCCCAGTGTGTAGTGCTCCCCTCCCTGTGTCCATGTGCCTAACTAATTTTTTAAAAATATATTTTTGTAGAGATGGGGCCTCACTATATTGCCTAGACTGGTCTCAAACTCCTGGACTCAAGTGATCCTCCTGCCTTGGCCTCCCACAGTGTTGGGATTATAGGCATGAGCCACCATGCACAACCAAAATGGTTTTTGAAACACTGCTGAATTCTATTACGAATAGGATCTTTTTCTTTTCCTCTGCCACAGCCACTGGCTGCCTGGGCTATGGGATGAGGGGCAGAGCCCCAGCTGTCTTGGATTGTGGAAAGTGTGGGCTGTCTTAGACACTGAGATTCTGCTGTGGTTTGTTGCTGCACAAAACCCGGGCCATCCTGACTGACTAACTGAGGGGCTAGAAGAGAAAATGTGTTGAGAAAGGCAGTCTCTACTTGGATATTCCAAAGTCTGTACTGCATTAGTCACCATTCTCCAGAGAAACAGGATCAGTGGGAGATTAGGTACATAGCTAGATGAGAGATAGATAGATACATACATACATGCATGCATGCATGCATGCATACATACACACATGCATGCATAGGTAGATAGATAGATTCATGCCTACATAGATAAATAGATAAATGAAACATAGACAATAGATACATGGATGGATAGATACATAGATGATAGATACAAAGACACATAGGTAGATACATAGATGAATGCATAGATAGATACATAGACACATAGATACATACATTGATATATAAATACATACATAGGTAGATACATTCATACATAAGTACATACATAAGTAGATACATTCATACATACATAGGTAGATTCATACATACATAGATACATAGATAGACACAATGATAGACAATAAAGACATAGATGGATAGATACATAGATAATAGATACCAAGACACATAGGTAGATACATAGATAGATGATCAATAGATACATAGACATAGGTAGATAGATACACAGACACTTAGCTGGATAGATACATAGATAGCTACATGGATAGATAGATGCTTACATACATAGAGAGATACATAGATACATGCATACACAGATGATTATGAAGAATTGGCCCATGTGATTCTGAAGGCTGAACAGCTCCACGATCAGCTGTCTGGAAGCTGAAGACCTAGGAAAGCCAGTGGGGTCATTCAGTTCAAGTCCGAAGGCCCAAGAACCAGGGATCTGATGCTGTGACACTAAGTCCGAGGGCAAGAGACCAATGGCCCAGCTGGAGCAGTCAGGCAGCAGGGGCCTGCCTCCATTTGTTCTATTCAGGCCCTCAGTGGATCAGAGGAAGCCGTACCAGTGAGGAGGGTGTCTGCTTTCCTGAGTTCATCGATCCTAATGCTCGGCTCATCCCAGAAACTGTCCTCACAGAACCCTCCAAAATAACATTCAGCTACATAGAAAAACTAGCTCATAGACATCAGCAGGTATTTAGCAGAGAGGAAAGGCACACACTTGTGGCTATGGCTACCTCTGTGCCACAAAGGTCAGTGATAGGGTGGGGGCTGGAGAGAGGAGGCGTTTCTCAGTCTTACGCTCCGGCTTTGGCCTTCAGCCTCCTCTGATGGTCTGCATGCCACAGGCTCTTTCTCTCCAGGGTCTCTCCCGGCCTTAGTTGCCTATTGCAATAGCGATGGGTTTTTTGTTGTTGAGATGATCAAGTTGGTTCTAAAATTTAGTCGGAAAAGCGAAGGAATCGGGAAAAACAAAACAATCTTCAACAAGAAGAACGAAGTCGGAGTCTCACCATGCTTGACTGCGAAACCTCCCGCCATGTCACAGTGACGCTGGGTCTGCATGAGGAAGCAGCACACGGGCCTGCGGAGCAGGACGCAGGAACAAACTCGACATACATGTCAGCTGATTCGCGTTAAAAACACCAAAGATTTCGGTGGGATAACGATGGTCTATTTATTTGTTTGTTTATTTTGAGACGGAGTCTCGCTCTGTCACCCAGGCTGGACTGCAGGGCTGCAATCTTAGTTCACTGCAACCTCTGCCTCCCGGGTTCCAGCGATTATCCTGTCTCAGCCTCCTGAGTAGCTGGGATTACAGGCACGCACCACCACGCCCGAGTAATTTTTGTATTTTTAGTAGAGATCGGGTTTCACCATGTTGGCCAGACTGGTCTCCAACTCCTAACCTCAAGTGATCTGCCCACCTCGGTCTCCCAAATTGCTGAGATTACTGGCACGAGCCACTGCTTCTGGACAGGCCAGGTAATTTCTAAACAACAGAGGCCCTGAGAAGCTCCGTGGGGTCTTCCTGAGTCATCCAAGTCGGGGTGGAAGCTCTCCTCTGAGAAGGCTCCAGTGGAGAACAGTGAACAGGCTGGACCTCTTGGATTCTGGGCCCGGGGCACCCAGGACTGATCCACCTGGGGGCAGCGTGTGGGGTGGAGACTGCCGTGCCCCTTGGCTGTGCCCCTGAGATGGATTTCCCAATGAAGGGATCCTGCCAGGCCACTGACGCTTCGGAGCAATTAAGTGCAAGTTTGTGTCTGTGCCAACATGAACTTCAAAGACCCGGGCTGGGGAGGATGAACGGAGAGGGGGCGGCAAACGCAGTGTGGCTGCCAGCTACAGCACGGTGGGGGTCTTCCTGCCCTTGGGGTGCAGGCTACCGGCCCTGTGGAGGCACTTCTGCCTGGAGCTTGTCCACCCAGAACCTGTGTGGCCACAGCCAAGGAACAGCCAGGGAATACCTGGAGCCTGGAAGCTGGAAGAGGCAGGAAGGAGCCTCCCGAGAGCCTTCGCTGGGAGCACAGACCGCAGCACTCAGGCGTCCATCCTCCGTAACTGTGAGAACAATTTCCTGCTGCCTGAGCCCCCAGTTTGTGGTCATTTGTCACAGGAGTCCCACACAGGGGCACGGGCTTCATTCCTGCCTCCAGCTGCCTCCTTTTCTGACACCCTGCAAAGCTCTCTGGACAGTGTCGGAAGAGTAACCCAGCCAGCTCCGTTTTCCCAGCAAGTGTGTCGGGCCCCTCCCAGCCCCATCGCCCTGCACACGCGTGACCTCAGCTTTCATGCGGCCTCAGGCTGGAGGCCCTGCAGCAGCTCCTGGCAGAAGGCTGCCCAGCTGGGGACCGCAGGAGGCAGGAGCTGATCCCAGCCTCCCGCCCTACAGGGTCGTGCATGCCCCTCCTGGCCAAGCTCTCCTGGGTCTCACCGTGGCTGTTCAGAGACGTTCCCCTGATGCCCAGGAGTCCTGTGAGCACCACCACTGGGGAAAGGGGTCTTCTCTTCCATGACACACGGGTGTGGCGTGCACCCGCCAGAGGACAGACGCAGAGCCAGAAGCAGAACTGCCAAACAACAAACACAACGTGATCGTTTCCAGTTTTAAGAAAGCAAACAAAATTTCCCTGGGGAAATGGCACAAACAGGAACAAGGAAGTGACCATGTGCCCAGCTTCACACCTGATCCTGGGTGGGAATATAAAGGCCCCGGGCTCAGGGAGCTCCACACTGCACCTCCGTCTCACCTGCTCCTCCACCTGCTCCACCCTCAACCCGTCATAACCATGGGCTGCTGTGGCTGCTCTGGAGGCTGTGGCTCTGGCTGTGGAGGCTGTGGCTCTGGCTGTGGAGGCTGTGGCTCCGGCTGCGGGGGCTGTGGCTCTGGCTGCTGTGTGCCCGTCTGCTGTTGCAAGCCCGTGTGCTGCTGTGTGCCAGCCTGTTCCTGCTCCAGCTGTGGCTCCTGTGGGGGTTCCAAGGGGGGCTGTGGCTCTTGTGGGGGCTCCAAGGGGGGCTGTGGCTCCTGTGGAGGATCCAAGGGAGGCTGTGGCTCTTGTGGGGGCTCCAAGGGGTGCTGTGGCTCCTGTGGAGGATCCAAGGGGGGCTGTAGCTCTTGTGGGGGCTCCAAGGGGGGCTGTGGCTCCTGTGGGGTCTCTAAGGGGTGCTGTGGCTCTGGCTGTGGGGGCTGTGGCTCCAGCTGCTGTGTGCCCGTCTGCTGTTGCAAGCCCATGTGCTGCTGTGTGCCAGCCTGTTCCTGCTCCAGCTGTGGCTCCTGTGGAGGTTCTAAGGGGGGCTGTGGCTCCTGTAGCTGCTCCCAGTCCAGCTGCTGCAAGTCCTGCTGCTCCTCAGGCTGTGGGTCATCCTGCTGCCAGTCCAGCTGCTGCAAGCCCTGCTGCTCCCAGTCCAGCTGCTGTGTCCCCGTGTGCTGCCAGTGCAAGATCTGATACTTGGCCCCAGACCTCAGATGAAGGCCACGCTGTATCTCAGACCTGTGATGCAGTTGTGAGCTGTGCTCCTCTGGAATAGGACAGTCCCCGGAATCAGGAACAGAGCTTCCCAGCTCATGACACATCTTTGCCCTAGAAATCCACTCCCCCTGTGCTTGGCACCATCACCACACTGGGAATCCTGGGGTGAGCCATTTCCTCTGCTGCTCATCGCCAAGTTCACCCCACTTGCTGGGGCCATACTGCCCTGCCCTTCCTTCTTCCTCAGAGAGCTCCCCTTTCCCCCGTGCACCCCGACCAGTGCTGGAGCTCAGGGAGGCCCAGGAGGCGCAGGCACTTGACCAGTTCCAGATCTGTGGCCTCTCCCGTGGACCCCACTCTCCCACTGAAACGCTCCCTTTGTTATTTCTTATCTGCTAAAGTCCAGCTGGACCCTTAATCCTCTAAATAAACACGCACCCCCCAGCCTGTGTCTCCTTGGGTTCTTTCTGTGTCGTGTCTTTCTACAGAGCCTGGTTCCTCCTGAGCATGGCCTGCTTTCATGTCAGCAGGGGGTGCTGCCCTCCCGGATAGAATTTGGATCTTTAATTGCCACAGTCCCCCAAGGGTCTGTGTGTACCCCAGTATCCACCTGGTGAGACAGTTCTTGTGAAAAAGATCTGGGACCACCTGGGATGTCTGCTGTCCTCCAGGGATGTCCCGGGACCCTGAGAAGGCTACATCCTACAGGGGTGGCTTTGCATCACCGGCTTGGGTCTGGGGTCCCCCCAGGAGTACTTTGTCCTCCTGAATCAGCTGCCCTGGAGGAGACTGGGGCTTGTGTGAACCGAACGCTCATTGTAAGAGGGAGCCACAAACTCAGTCCCACCTGGTAGCTCAGGCAGCTTTGCAGCAGGACCTCAGTAACAGACCCATGGCTCAGGGTGACCTGGGGGGTCAGGTGATGGGCGGAAGTGTACCCTATGATGGTGACCCCATGCCAGCCTAGCCAGGCTGTGGTGCCCAGCTGTTCTGCCCAACAATCACTCGAGTGTTGCCCATAAGGTGTTTTGTTAATGAGATTAACATTCAACTTCCAGTAAAGCGCTTTGCTTTCCATAATGGGGGAAGGTCTTAGGAGCAAAACGTGAGGGTCCTGGGAAAAGCAGGCGTTCTGCCTGAGGATGGAAACAGAAATCCTGCCTGAGCTTCCATCACCAGGCCGCCCCCCCAGATTTCATGCTCAGCAGCCCCTCAAACAACCGAGCCAATCCTTTCACAGGTGTGATTACAAATCATACTTGCACACATATCCTACAAGCTCTTTTTATCTACAGAGAGAGTTTGGAAAGTATCACAGTCATAAAAGAGGAGCAAACAGCTGTGGGGCCCGGGTGATTAACTCAGTGGCTGGGAAGCACCCCAGACCCGATTCAGGGGCTGAGACAGCCAGCGATAGAAGGAGGGCAGGTGGGGATGAAGAGTGGCCTGAGAGTCACAGGGGAGCCGGAGGGCATGCTGGCTAGGAAGCAAGGGCAGAGGGGACATACCCGTCTGTCCCCAGCCTTCCTGTTACAGGAACGGGCATGCCCTGGGATGAGGGACTCAATGTCATTCCCCCCTAATCCTGAATTATTGTCACAGTCTTTCCCCCAGGACAAGGGCTTCAGGATCTTCCATCTGAAGAGACAGACAGGGCTCTCCGGTCCCACCCAACCCAGGTCCTGGAGGGTCCTTGGTGGGGAGAAGAGAGAGCAGGCATTGGCTCCGGGTCTCCCAGGCTTCCACAGTCCCCAGTTCAAATGAGGACTCCACACTCATTCGCTCCGGGGGCACAGCCTCAGGTGTATGCCGACTTTTCAGGGGGCAATGCCTCCCCCTTCCTGTGCCCTGCCCCTTCCAGTGCCAGCCCACCAGTTTCCCTGTTTTGGAGCTGTGCCTCTGGAAAGATCTTTCTTCCAGCTTCTGGTTGAGCCATTTCTCAGCCTCCATCACCACGTGGAGAAGAGCTGATTGCAGCAGAAATAAGCAGGTGCTCAGATGCTGGAGCCTGACCCACGGGGCTTCCTGACAGCTGGGCAGCTCCAGAAAACAGCACCAGTTCTGTGAAACAGGATCCCATGGCCACAAAGTGAGGGGCTTAAAGCAATACAAATAGATTCTCTCACGTTCTGAAGGCCAGAAGCCAGAAATGCAGGTATCAGGAGGACTGCACTCTCTCCACACGTTCCACAGGAGGCCCCTCCTGTTTTTTCCAGCTTCTGGGCTCCAGTGTCCTGGGGCATGTGACCCGTAAACCAAAATGTACCTAGGACAGGTCACAGTCCATTTAGAAGGTGTATTTTGCCAGGGTTGAGGATGTGCCCATGACACGGACTCCAGAGGTCTTCATGACATGGGCCCAAGGGGGTCGGACACAGCTTTGCTTTCATGCATTTTAGGGAAACCGGAGACACCCATCAAAATACGTGAGGTGCACATTGGTTTGTTTGGCAAAGTGGGACAACTGTGAGTGGGAGGAGCTTCCAGGTCACAGGTAGCTAAGAGACAAACCTGCATGCGTCTGAGTTTCTGATTAGCCTTTCCCTGAACGCTGTTTAGAGGAATAGTCACTCATGCCTTAGTGTGACTTAGTGAAGTGATAGGGCAAAGGCAGCCACCAGATTTGCATTTGTCTCACGGGAGCAGAGGGAGGACTTTGAGTTCTGCCTGTCCTTTGTCCACAGGGAATTTCTTTGTGGGCAAATGGTGAGGGAGGTGCTTCTTTACCTTTGCAGCTGTCTTACTTAGGAATAGAATGGGAGGCAGGTTTGTCCTGTGCAGTTCCCAGCATGACTTTCCCTTTGGCTTTGTGATTTGGGCAGATTTTTTATTCACAGGTGGCATTGCTCTGACCTGTGCCGCCACCATCACAGCCTCCTCCCCACATGTGTCTGTGTCTGTCTTCTTGTCCCGCAAGTCCTGTAATGGCACCAGTCACGTGGAAACAGGGCCATCCTAGTGACCTTATCATAACATAATGACATCCGCAAAGTTCCCATTTCCACATAGGATCACACTCACAAGTCCCAGGCATTAGAGCTTCGATATATACTCAGTAGACACGTATATTAAAGTACATACTTCAACACGTTCAATGCACAACACACATCTACCATGCAAAAAGCCAACCGGCTCATTCTGTGCCATGAAGATGTTTCTTGGGTTATACTGTAGGCTCATGTTTACACAACTGTTTACCTTCCCAGACCACAGAGACCAGGTTATAATGTGTGCTGGAGGGTGGGGGGAGTGCAGGGAATGAGGGAGGGTGATCCCTCTGGCCCCAGCTGCCTGGTGGTCCCCCATCCCTCCTGAAGTATGCAAATCTAAGACCGTTTAGCTGACAGCTATGCAGAGTTATCAAGAATTGATACAACCTATTGAAGCAGGTTATCATAATGTGAAAGTCTAAGACGAGAACAAGGGGGTCTGTGAATCTGTAAGATACAGTTCTGTTGGCGTGTCTAATACATCGGTATATGTGTTATGTACACAATGGTTCACTACTGAAAATACATGAAAGAGCTCTAATTGGCTTAAGAAAATAAAAGGGCTTGCATCTGATATTATCAGGAAAAAAGACTAGTCAAATGCTTTTTCAAGTTTTATGCAACTAAATAAAATCTTTAATACATAAGCTAGCTTTAAGATTCTTGGTAAAGCAATATTAGAAATGTCTTATGCATTGCCAGCATGCATTTAGTTTGCATCTATTAGTCAAGCAATTTCATACTTATCCCTGCCAAATACTATAAGGTGTCCAAGCTTGACATAGAGGTTACAAAACTATAAGCCCAGCCCAAAACAGAATCATGCTTGCTTGTGTAATTTTAATAAATAAGACATGGATAATGGTTTAATGAAAATAATTACATCTCGAAATATTTAGTAAAATTACCGTAACTTCTAATCTTGTGGCTTTAGGCAGTGTCGTCCATGGGCAATAAGGAGGTTTGTTTTGGGAAAGGACTGTTATCTTCTTTGTTTCAAAGCTGAACCATAAGCTAAGTTCCTCCCCAAGTCCAAGAATGAACAAGGACAGCCTGGAGGTTAGAAGCAGGATGAAGTCAGTTAGGTCATACCTTTCCCACTATCTCAGTTAGAACTTTGCAATGGCAAATTTCATAAACGTAAATGATGACTATTACAGTTTTCACAAATAATCTGGGTAAACAATTAAAATAAAATAATTAGGTAAGTGTAATGCGATAAATACTTATAGACAAAGTTGTCATACTTTATAAGGTAAAGTTATATTAAATTCAGTAATAGATATTTATATTTCATTATTTGGATATTTTTCAATACAAAATATATTGTAGAACATTCCTTCTTTAAAAAAGTGTTCTTTTTAAAAGGTGAAAATTTTTTTCTAGTTCAAAGCTTATTTAAAGTTTATGTATAAAACAAGGTAAAAGAAACCAGGAAATGAGAGATGTAAAGAAAATTATAGAAGTAAGTAGGAGTTTTTGGTAAGAAAGTTTAGAGAGAAAGGATCTTGTCTGTAAATATAGTCCTAGAATCAAATGACTTGTTGTTTAAGAAAGAGGGATGTTAAGGACAAACCAGAAAGTCTAAGCATGTCGTGAACACTCCACGTAAGTGACAATAAGAGAATTTATTTGAACAAAAACCTTTTATATGATCAAGTTGTCTATAATTAAAGGAAATTATAATGGCTTTTCTACAGCTGGGGTCTGATGTAAAAAAATATTTATGCACTAAAGAATTAGTTAGAAAAATACAATTTTCTTAAGGGATTGTTTTAATAAATTAAAAGAGATTATAATTTTTTAGCTAAAACTTCCGCTTTTATTGCATCTCGCTGTTTTTGGATTTCTCCTCCCTTTCAAAGGGTGCAAAATACTAATCCTCACATCCAAATCATTTTCTGCTCACGTAAGTTTTCTTCCCTCAAGTTCTGTTTGCTGTGTCCTGATGCTAACAAAGTTTTCTTTCTTTCCTTCTTTCTTTTTTATTTTTTTGAGATGGAGTTTCACCCTTGTGGCCCAGGCTGGAATGCAATGGCGTGATCTTAGCTCACAGCAACCTCTGCCTTCCAGGATCATGTGATTCTACTGCCTCAGCCTCCTGAGTAGCTGGGATTCCAGTCACCTGCCATCACATGCAGTTAACGTTTATATTTTTAGTAGAAATGGGGTTTTGCCATCTTGGCCAGGCTGGTGTCAAACTTCTGACCTCAGGTGATCCACCTAACTTGGCCTCCCACAGTGCTGGGATTACAGGTGTAAGCCACTGCAACTGGCTAAGAATGTTTTCTTTAAAACATTAAATCCACCCCACCCCTGGGCACTCCCAAGCTAGCCCCAGCCTGACTGCCACCTAGCCCCAGGCTCATCTGCTCTCCCTGCTCTCTGAAGCCATTCTCAGGCCTGCATGGAGCCACCCTGCTGCCACCCTGCTGCCTCCAGAAAGCTGCATCA